AGGTCCATCAGAGCCAAAGGCAAGTCTCTCTTGTTGGTTCCTTTCTTTCCACCTCTTCTACCTCTACTTGCCTCTTCCACCAACCTTTGTAAACTAGATTGAGGCCCTCTCCCTCTCCCTCCATATCTTAGGCCTACTCCCTTCTGCTACTAGCCATGGAGTTGTCATATAACCAGTACTCTGATAAGGGCTTTCCAGATGCAGCGCGAGGGAAGTGGGGATTGTCCACCATAGCCAAAGGTAAGTCTCTGTTGTCGGTCCCCTCATTCTTCCTCCTCTTTTCCATTTACTGACCTTGATATCTAGCTTGAGGTCCTTCCCCCTGTGCCTCCATTGACTAGGTGGACTCTCTTCTAGTGCTTCTCAGTAGCCATGAAGGTTCTTCTTTGACCTCATCCCAGAGGTCCGCCTAGCTTTCCCTCAGGGTGGAGCAGCAGCATGACTGGCGGGTGAATGCTTCGACTGCTCATTGCAGGGAATGATGTACTTGTGAGACCCGACCACGAGTACCTCAGCCCGAACTCTTTCAGCCTCTAACAGGGCACAAGGTCCTAGCAGAAGTTACTCGCTTTTGCCGAGAACTGCAGTGCAACCTGCAATTCACCAGCAGAGCCTGAAGCTAACCTGATATCTAGGTGCATTTGGGCCCTGGAGCATTATGACATATTTGGAAGGTACGGGACCTCTCTAGGTCTATAATGCTATGGGATCCCTGTTTGGTTCTACTTTTGTCTTTGTCAGTCCAAGAATTTCCTGTGTCTGACGTCCAATTTGTTTCTCTCTCTTTTTCTATTTGAGAAAGGGCGACGGCCTGTCCTTCGGGACGTCCGTTAAAATTGGAACGATACAGAGAGAGAAGATTAGCATGGCCCCTGCGGTTTCAAGGATGACATGCATAAATCGAGAAATGGTCCTAATTCCCCACCAACCCTTGCTAAGGGGTGGACCTGCTACATGCGCTCCTGCCAACGTCGCTACCCTACGCATGTGCCACGTCTCTCTCAGTGGTTCCGACGCATGCTGCGATGGTCCTTGTATCATCAAATTTCTTCTTCACCCCCACGATACTCTCGTCCTGCCCCTGCTTGCTCATCTGCTGCTACCGCAGTTTCCACTGCTGCAGTCTCCACTCCTGCAGTTTCCACTCCTGCAGTTTGCACTGCTGCAGTCTCCACTCCTGCAGTTTCCACTGCTGCAGTGTCCACTGTTGCAGTTCCACTGCTGCAGTTTCCACTGCTCCAGTTTCCACTGCTGCAGTGTCCACTGTTGCGGTTTCTACTGCTGCAGTGTCCACTGCTGCAGTTTCCATTGCTCCAGTTTCCACTGCTCCGGTTTCTGCTGCTGCAGTTTCTACTGCTGCGGTTTCCACTGCTGCAGTTTTCAGTACAGCAGTTTCCCTAACTGTAATTCTCCCTACTTCAGTTTTTACTGCTACAGCCTCCTGTCCTGCAGCTCCAATGCAAAGAACATCACAATCTCTCCTGCGCTCACGTCCTTTGCTCCGAAATCTTGCCCAATGCACCCCCCTCTCATCTTTGTCTGTGCTTGGCTGTAGACGATTGTGTTCCTCCTCACCACCCCCATCTCCTCCACGGTCTCGCTTGTGAACAGACTCTCCAGTGTCCATTGTTCCCATTGTTCCACCTGCGTTGCTAGGTACAAGTTCAGCTTATGTTTGCAACACCACCACTACTCTTGTTGTGTATCACCGACGACATCCGCGGGGTCGTCACTTGTTCGGGGATCAGCAACCTGTTTCTTTGTCTGCCCCGATTCTCTCTGTGGCTCCTCCACAGTGCTGCGGTTCCTTTGTTTCAAACGGCAATATCCGCTCCATGTGCCTCTCCTGCAGACAGTCCAGCAGCCTGCAGGCAGCCACCAGTCCCTACTCAGGATGCAGCCGCTGCCCAGAGTACACTCCCGACTCCAGGTACAGTCCCTACTCAGGATGCAGCCCTAAACGTTGAGGGATTGGAACATGATCTGCGCGGGTTGCAGTTGACCCCACAAGGCGTAGACCACATTGGGAATCTGCAAATGGCTGACCAGCATTGTTTGGATGAACCACAATTTTGTGCTCCGCCACGCGCAGACCACATGGGTGATCTGCAAATGACTGATCAGCAAACAACCCAACACAGTTTGGGCTTGCAACACCATCTGGGTGATCTGCAAATCATTGTCCAGCATCCAACAAAACAGCATGAGAACCTCACCAATCTCTGTAGTCTGACAGCAACTAATATCTGTCTTCACATTCTCCATTGCCCGTTTTATACACCATCAGACTTCCTTGCAATCGCCCTTCAGCTTGATGCTGATCTTCCTCAACGACAGCCAGAGGATTGTAATTATACCAGTGAAGGAGGCTTTACCATTGCTGTCCTACAAGTAGCAACGAGGGACCGTCAACTTGAACTACTATCCTCCATCCCACATCTCAGCCTGCATTGTGCACAGCCCTGGCCATTACATGGCCATTGTACATGCCTCTGACCACTGGGAGCTGTGGGACAACGGCACCATGGTCCATGCCATGATTGATGTCACTAAATTTTTTACAAAATGACGCAGTTTTCTTGCCAGAACAAACCATCCGCAATCTCTTTTATGTTGAAGATCATTCCTCTGGCCCGGTGCTGCAGCAAGACAATGTACCAACACTCTGCGAGCTTCTCCTTTGCACAGCCACAAACACTGTTACACTCGGCTGTAGCCGCCATCGTCTCTGTCACAGTCACTACAATGACATGGTATCTGCATCCATGTGTGCAGAGGACTGTCCCACCGTTCCTGACTGCAGGCACCCTCCGCATCCGGACACTATATGTCCATTTTGCGGCCATGGGTGCTATACTGAATCCATGCTCTTTTGTGGTGACCGTTCTTCTTTCATTTTGGCCTGCAATCGACATGCCGTTTGTCGGGGGTGTATGATGGGCATGCTCAATGGCACCCGTCGTGGCAATTGTTGCACTGAGAATGCTCAGTTAGGACTTCCATGTGTTCAGCCACGTCATCCTTACTATGTATGTCCTCTCTGTCGTCAAGGACGGACTCATTCTTGAGCCTTTTCTTATCCTCTTTTGCCTTCATCTTCACTCCACACTCCATACTTTCCCTTGCTTGCCCTTTATCGTTCTTTGTTTCTGCTCGCCATCTCTCCTCCCTGTGTTTATCCCCTCCCCCTTCACTCTGCCTCTTTCTTACAGCGTACAAGTGGGCTGTTATGGCACACGAGGATGGGGGAAGCTCGCGCTCGACTTCGTCAACGTGGCGAGCCTTGTATGTGAGAGGCACGGTGAAAGAGGAGTCAAAAGAAGAATGAGGAAAATGAATGGTTTCACTGTGCCCTTCATGTTTGTCTTGTTTTTTTAATTCTTAATTTTTGCTGTTTGTTTTGCAAATTGCACTCTTTTACTTCATAGTTATGTGACAATATATCTACATATTTGTCTTGTTTTTTTTTTTTGTTTTTTTTTTTGCTGTTTGTTTTGCAAATTGCACTCTTTTAGTTCAGAGTTATGTGACAATATATAAAAAATAAAAAAAAATAAAAAAAGAAAGGGTGACGGTCTTGAGATATTATCATGGAACTGACCGGCCCCAGCCGATTTGTTTCGTCTAGTTCCATTTGAATTCTTACTGAGGTCTGTATTTCAACAGGTCATGGGCTTACCAACTGAGCTATGCCCATTAGTACCAACGTCCAAGTCCAATCTTGTAGCTATACCTATTTAGTGTTGCACCTCTCTGGGTGCAGAAAATACTGCATGAGAACAGAGTTAGCTCACGGCCACAGCAAGCATCACAACTCTCAATCAGGCAGGCAACACAGTAACACAAATCTCAGCTAGCCAGATCAATAGGCAGCAATTCTCAGAAAAATGTGGAAACCGCACAGTGCACATGTGCAGGTTATTGCATCGGACTCGGATACTGACCAGGGATGTGCCAAGAACTAGAATTATTCTTGCCCCCTCTTGCTTGTAGTGCCAGTTTTTTTTTGTCCATTTGTTTTGAAAGTTGTGCTCTTGTCTGTTCTGGATGCCCTTGATGGAAGCTATTTGTGAACAGTCATTGGAGATATTTCGCTGATCATGCATATGAAGTCTGGAGAGCATGTGCTCTTCGGACATGCAGCTCCAATCATATTAGGAAGAAGCTGAAGTTTGTGGCTTGCTGACCGAGAACTACGTTCTTACTAAACCCGGTTATAGTTTGTCCCTGGAGGGTCATCATGCGTTAAGCTTTTTCCGTTGTAGAGGTTTGGGGCCCTAACCCACAGGGCTTATAACCAGATCTTTGTTCTGTATGTGGAGGTTGCAACTTCCTTTTTAGACTAGGCTGAGGAAGCTGTTGTAACCAGATCTTTGTTCAGTATGTGTAGGTTGCAACTTCATGTGTGTGTGTGCGTGTGCGTGGTTGTGTGCATGCTCGGACTTCTCTGTCCAACCTAGGCTGAAGGCCAGCTAGGCCCACCTTGGGCATATTTTATTTTGCTGTGCCTTAGTGCACTCTTTTCTGGATGGTTAGCTCGAGGTGTTGTGGTTGAGAAGTGACTTTGGGCCATCACCTTACTGTGCGACATTGTCGATCCTACATCTCTCTGTTCTTACAACACACCACCATCACGATAACAACAAAACTAACACTCTTATGCAGGTTTTCAACATTAATTTGTGTGGCAGTCTGTCAATTGTGCATTCTGTTTTCACGGCCGACATGGTTCATTCTGGTCATGTTCTTACACTCCCAGTGCTTACGAGAAGGCATGCTTCTGTTAGATGAGGCATGCTCTGTTAGATTCTCTTAACATGAGTGTTTTGTACAAGGTCTTTCCCACTTGGCTAAGCAGATGCTCCCGTATATCAATGCTTTACTGTGAGACTCATCCAAAGGCTTCTGGGAAAGGTGTGAGATGTGCATTCCTTGGGAAATGACTGAGAACCTTGTGGCTGGATGGCTTGCTTGTGCCTTTTGTCTGTTTTACCTGTTAGGAAGCTGTGCATGCGCGAGGATGGAAAACAGCAGGTCTGCATTGTTGGGTTGAAGGTAAGCTGGTCCCAGAAATGTGCTGTAAGCAAAAATGAATTCAGAGAGAATTTGAAGGGGACCTAAGTCCGTGGATATTGTTTGTGTATGCAAATACACTGCTGCTGGTTCATGCCTGGTCGGTTTGAGATTGCTGTTTTTCGCGGTCTACCACTGTAACTTTTTCCCTGCCATATGTGTTGTGAGCTGGACAACGAGTGACACTGCTTTGTGAATCACAGCTACCTTGGGAGGGATAGTAATGTTCTGGACCGGTTTGTATCTGTTGGAGCTAAAGCATCTCATTGAGGGAACTCTACTGCCTAGGTTGTACCCGAATTTTACGTTGTACTCCAGTATAGTTCTAGTTTTCCCGGTTTTGCTTTGTTTCCATATCCATTCCTTAGGATCGAATTCGAGCTCTGCTATGCTGAGGTCAGGCTGGAAGATTCTCCATGGTTTGTTTTTTGTTACCCTCACTTTTTGCAGCCGGAAGGACTCTATTGGTTCTAGCTGAGGTTCTCTGTTGAGGATGGCTAATTCTTTTAGGTTGTGATTAGCGATGGGATAGGAGCAGAATCTGGAAAGGTAGCCGGTGGCTGAGGTGCAGGATGCGAACCGGTATGCTCTGTTTGGTGAAGTTTGGGATATGAGTATTCCCCAGTCCCCTGCTTTCCAGGAGAAGTCTTCTTTCAAGAGACAGAGCCAATGGGGTGGGATGCTCTTCTGGATTATGCTTAGGTTGTCTGCGAGAGCGTGACAACCTTTTAGGATGTTCCGGAGTCCTTGTTCCATTCGTCATTCCCCCCGTTCTTCTGCCCACAGGTGCTTTACCCGCAAGACCCCTTTTTCAACCCATGACAACCATCTTCGGTCCTTCATTCTTAGTGGCCACGGACTACCCTCGGGGTCCTTGATCCAATCGTTGCAGAACAGCGGTTGTCTCAAGGCCTCTTCTTTGTTATCCACTGTGCCTTGTTTGCTTGGCATCATACGTCGCCAGACTTTCAGAGTCGGGGTCCAGTATGGGTTGGGTGTTGGGGCTGCCTGGTTGTTCGAGTTTCGTGTGGTGCTTCTGCGGGTTCTGCCTGATCTTATCGTCCACTCCTTAGCCATAATCCAGAAGTAGCCGCTCATGTTTGGTGGGGAGCTTATCGGTGCTAGGTTTCTTATGCTGTCTAGAGCCATCTTGGTCCATGGTAGGTATTGTCTGGTCATAATCTTGATCTATAGTGCGGTTGATTCCTGCTTGGGGTCGATTAGCCCTAGGCCCCTCCTACGGTTTCTTAGTGACGTGTCTCCATTCTACCCTGTTGATGCATGAGGTTCGGTTGGGGAACCCTGTCCATAGATAGCACCTTACTCTAGCCTTTATGGTTTGGAAGTCGACGTCCGGGGGAGATCAGATGGATGAGATGTACCATAGTGTGGAAAAGATAGCTGTGCTTATAATTAGTGCCCTCCCGATCAACGATGGCTGTGCGTTCATGCACGGGGCCAAGCTAGTTATTGCTTTAGCAACTAAGCTGTGGCCCATTCCCGCCCATTCGCCGTCCTTGTTGACCATGATACCTAGGTATCTGAGTGCCTGTTCGCCTGTGGACCACGACATAGGAGTGGTTGTGCCCTCGGGTTGGGGGGGCGTCTCGTCTGCAAGCCACCGACCTTTAGTCTTGCTCCAGTTGACCTTCATTTCGGATGCAAGACGGAATGCCTCCATAGCCCTTGCAAGGGCTTGGAAGGAGTTGTTGTTGGCACGGACAAGAACTGTGCGGTCGTCTGCGAACATCAGAGCAGTGGGTAGGGCGAAGTCGTGAAGTGGGTTGAGGTTCCGTTCGGTGAGCCGGTCTATGGACAGATCTTTGCGGAGAAAGGATGCTATGGCTTCCATAATGAAGAGAAAAATGGGTGGAGCTAAGGGGTCTCCTTGTCGAACGGATCTGGAGATGGGGTACGTTTTCGACAGGACGTGCACTCTGCCGGTTGCGTCGGCGTATAACACTTTAACCCAGTCCCTGAAGTTCGGACCAACCCCCATTTTTTCTATGCAAGTGTGAAGGAAGTCCCAGTTGACTTGGTCGTGGGCCTTTTCGAAGTCGAAAAACAGGATCGCTGCTTTCATCCTTTTTTCGATTATCTTTTTGATCACCTCATTCAGAGTCATCACATTGTCGAGTATGTACCGGTCTGGGATGAAGCCTGCTTGGTCGATGTGGAAGCACTCGTCTGTCAGATTTATAATCCTGTTGGCTAGTGCTTTCGCTAGGATTTTGTCGGGGGTTGAGTAGTGAGATGGGTCTGTAGTTGTTCAAATCCTCTTTCTTGTCTTTTTTGTGGAGTAACGATACTACACTTGTACTCAGATTTTGACCCAGTCCTCGGTCTCTGCTGTCATTGAAAAAATTGAGAAGGTCAGCACCTAGTATGGGCCAGAAATGGACCCAGAATTCTTTCGACAATCCATCGATGCCCGGGGCTTTATCGTTACCAATCTGAGTCAGGGCTGTGTATAGTTCCCCCAACAAGAGTGGTCTGTCCAGCCGCTCGGTTTGTTCTGGTGTGATTGTCTTCTCCAGGTAGGCCACCATTCGCTGTTGCGCTGTTGAGTTGGCTGAGGTGAGGGGGGAAGGTGTTTTGGATTCGTAGAGCTGTGCGTAGAACAGTCTGGCTATTGTCACCATTCCCGAACCTGATTGGTCGACCTTATTCTGGTTGTCAGGGTCCTTCAACCCTTCAATGTTGTTATCTCTGGCGTTGGCTTTGATTTTTGCGAAGAAGTGCTTTGTCATGGATTCGTCAAGCGTGTGGTCGGTCATCCTGGCTCGAATCTGCAGGCCTCTCAGTTCCCATCTCCTCCAATCGTTGAGTTATTCTCTTGCTGAATCGAGTAGTTGGCTGTAGAAAGTGTTCGAGGGATCTGCAACAAGGTTGTCCTCTGCGAGAGAGATGGCGAGTTGGAGTTTTGCAATGCTTCTGGATTCCGCTGAGACCGTTTGGGTGAGGTCTGTGTCGCTTTTCGTGAACCATTGATATCTATTGTCCAGTCTAGCGCCGTTATGTCTTAAGAAGAACCAGTTCCATCTGACCGCCTCTGTTAGTCTTTCGGTAGTTAAGAGGGAGTTATTTATTCTGTAGAAGCCCCCGCCTTTTCTGTGGGGGAGTCAAAGTTCAGGAGCAGCTCTACTGGCTTGTGGTCAAGGCCTTGGAAGGCCGCTGGTGGGCGGATCACAGCCTGTTTGATTGTTCCTAGGAGTTGCTTGGAGATTAAGAAGAAGTCGATCCGGGACAACGACGTCCTGTTGGCCTGGTTCTTTTTTGCCCGTGAGAAGGCCTTTTTCTCTGGGTGTAGCATTCTGAAGGGGTCAGTGAGGTCGAATTCTGTCATGATGTTTCTTAGGTAGGTTCCTGCTCTTGTTGGGCCTATCAGTTGGGAACGAGAGATGCGGTCTAGGTTTGGATCCAAGGTCGTGTTCCAGTCGCCCGCGATGATCACCGGTTGAGGATTTGGGATGAGGGACTGGATGCTGCTGAAGAACACTAGGCGTTCATTTTTTAAGTTGGGGTCGTAGATGTTAAGAATTCTCAGTTCCTCGTCTTGCCATCTGACGCCTAGCAATAACCATCTACCTTCTGTGTTGTCTCCTCCGTTGCTGAGGATCTGACCTTGTGACCATAGTTTAGAAACGTTAGGTACGAGTATAGCTGTCCCCCGTTTGCTAAGCCCTTCTGGGTTGGACCATAGTGAGAATGCACAACCCCCCAGGCTCTTTTCTATTGCCCTTTTTATGTTCCCGTGGTTTGGGAGATTAGAGAGGTGTGGTTCTTGAAGTAGGACCATGTCTGGTCTGGGTCTGTTCCTCTCGTAGAGACCTAGTCAGATGTCTCTTAATTTGCCTTCCGTCGTCAGTGTGTTACCCAACCCATTGATGTTCCAGCTGATGATTTTGAGTCCTTTGGCTTGCCAGTCTATTGTTATAGTATTATCTTGTTTTGTGTCGGCATCCATTGATTGATTCTGCATCCTCGGCTGTTTGTCCTACTTCGTCTCTCTTATCATTGCTGTTACTTGTGGTGCTGCGCTAAGGCCCATCATTCGTTTGCGTTTGAATGAAATGAGGAATATGCGGTTTTACCAGCATCACGGGTAGCACCATTTTCCTCCACCTCAAGGGGAGTGAGTGCAAGCTTATAGAACCCCCAATCCTGCTGTTGTGAGGCGAGCTCAGGATAGGAAGTAAGAAGGGATGCTTGCTTCGTTTGAACTTCCTTGATTTGCAGACCTGGAGTGGCAAATAGTGTGGAGGCTTTTTATGAAAAAGCCTTCATGTTACATGTCCACCGACTGTGCCCTGACGCTAGTACAGCTCGCCGGGGTATAAGGCCCCAATGTGGATCACCATACTGCAACTTAAGCAGTGTGTGAATATTTCCTGACGAGATGTTACTTTCAAGATAGCTTCGGCTTGCAGCCACTTGCTGACAGCTGCCTCTACCATTGATGGTAACTAAGCTTCCACCTTTGTCTCAGTGAGCTCAAAGTACAATCTTGCTTACCTGAAAAAAGTTTGGTGCTTTGCCCAACTTGCAGTTACGAGAGGCTTGGTTGCAGCCTGTCGCTGCAGCTTGTTGTGCACCAACTGCTGGAACCCCTTAGACAGCAGTGGCTTGGATTGGAAGGCTAGAGGGTTAGGAGGAGAAGCAGTGAAGATGACAGCAGCAAGTTGTGACAGATTTTCCCAGAAAGTGCAGCGAACTGCTGTTCGAGGCATAGGTCCTCCCCGAGTGTAGAATTTTGCCACACAGCCTTTCAACTGCATCATGCAGCTGTACATTGGCCTGTAATGGATCTTTTAGCTGTGCTATGGAAGACTTGCGGCTCTCCCACAGATCAATGAGAAGGTCGGTAAGTCTTTAGACAACCCTTCTAATTGTTCCCACAACGGTACCCTGTCTCAGTTTTTCTATCTTCTCTCTCTCTCTCTCTCTCTCTCTCTCTCTCTCTCTCTCTCTCTCTCTCTCTC